CATATATATATATATATATATATATATAATGTGTACGTTATAAGATTCATTTCAATGAGAAATATTCAAACATTAATAGCAAATAAAATGTAGTATTTTATGTATCTTCACACTCGTGCTGTTGTAACGGTAGATACTTACAAATGTCCAACCTCGTGAGCAGCCACAATGATACCACTAAATCCTCCACTGTCTTCGATAATAGCTACACTGTTTACTTTCTCCAGTCTTTTGTTCACGACACAAGCTCCCCCAACATAAGCAAAACCTAGAGAAAAACTTGTTAATATCCTTTCACAATAACCTAGTTTCTTTGACAATAACAGACACGTCATAAGTCAGTGATCTACTCAACTTACCTTCAGTTCCTCTGTTATATCGTCCACCAACGACACACATCCAATTTTGTGATAACGACAGCCACGTCATTAGTCAGTGATCTACTCAACTTACCTGCAGTTCCTCTGTTACATCGTCCGCATTCAAACCGCCGACGACACATATCGAGTTTTGTGACAACGACAGCCACGTCATAAGTCAGTGATCTACTCAACTTACCTGCAGTTCCTCTGTTACATCGTCCGCCTTCAAACCGACGACACATGTCGAGTTTTGTGACAACGACAGCCACGTCATTAGTCAGTGATCTACTCAACTTACCTGCAGTTCCTCTGTTACATCGTCCGCCTTCAAACCGCCGACGACACATATCGAGTTTTGTGACAACGACAGCCACGTCATAAGCCAGTGATCTACTCAACTTACCTGCAGTTCCTCTGTTACATCGTCCGCCTTCAAACCGTCGACGACACATATCGAGTTTTGTGATAACGACAGCCACATCGTATGTTGGTAATCTATCTTCTCGATATAAGTACTTCCCCAAATCTGTCAAAGCTCCTGCAGCATCTATTGCATCATTGTTTGGAGACTTCAGTCTGTTTTCTTCAAGATAGGGCGTGGCATCTCTATCCTACAATAACGTAGATACACAGTTATAATATGGGTATCTTATTATCAACGAGGAGTTATTTTTTCATAATGAGTATTAAAACATTCATAACTCGTATTGTTCTTCTAACTTTGTTTTTGTATATAAGCCTTCTTAAAAATGAAGAGACTGTCCAGTTTAATTGGCTAAAGATTAAGCTTAGGAGAAAGGGAGTGTTTGAATTCCAAATTGTCTTTGACCTATCACTGAAGTTCATCTGGTGGAATAAAACTGTGATGATCAGAAGTGATGTCTTATATAAATCTTACACATGACAGAAGAGTTTGAAACCTTTAGTCATAACAAACATGTTCAAATATACACGTGAAATTACGGTTTCACTGTGCTAAACAGTAGCGTTATAAGATATACCACGTTCATCTGCTGCTGCTAATGACAAACATTTCAACCCTTTAAACAACACATGAACTTAGAATTTACGTTTCGGCTCATGTGACTTTGTGTACATTTTAGCACACTTCGTGTCACCAAAAATACACATGGAAGTTAAGTGAATTACATCAAATCGATTTTTGAGCCTCACCAAATCGTTACAGTCCGTGTCGCCACGTCTGGTCATGCTCTATCTGACGACCGTGCATTTTGAAAATAACCCTGTGACGTAGTTTTCATTGCAAAGAGCTTGGGAGTAAAACTGTTGTGTCCAAAGCACGCCACACCTCCCTGTTGTTTTCCATAAGTCATCTAGTGTAGAATGACAACAGTTTCCTGAAGCCCGTTTCAACATTCCAATCACAAAGATATCTATAATCGACTTGACTGCTATTTTATACCCATTTTTATACATTAATACCCATTTTATTCTCCAACTGCCTGAGGTATGCAATGGCTGAACAGAAGATATAACTGGAAGATTTATCTCTGTGAATCCACTCCCTGTTAGCTTCGTTTCCAGATGAACATTCTTCTTGATTCCTGGAACACGTTAAGAACTTTTGCCTCTCATCTTTGTGTTAATAGAAGTTCACCTATCTCAAGACACCGCACCTAACAATAACTGGGATAGGAGTTGTTACAAGTCTCCTTCTAGATGGTTCTGGTTCCTCAAGCTGATCCACATTTATTCGTTTCCCAATATCATTAGGCTCAAGAGATATCCCCATTTGGAAATTCTAAATTTCTGATCTCAACACATCTTCCTGATTTGTGTGCATGGAAAGTTTTATCGGAAAGGGCTATTACATACCCTTCCCAAAAGCGATCAATTTTCGATGACATCACACTATCTACGAAACGTCAAACAACGTAAGCAATGTCAAAATGTAGTTCCGATACACTCCATTCCACCACGATTTTATATCGGTTGTGGTTGTCAGGTGATTAACTAATCTGAATACTCAAAATCGTTTTAATACAACGTTCTCAGCTCTCTGTACTTTAGCACATTACATTTTACTTTACATGTATAGTTTAGCACATTACATTTTACGTTACATGTATAGTTTAGCTCATTACATTTTACTTTACATGTATAGTTTAGCACATTAAATTTTACTTTACATGTATAGTTTAGCACATTACATTTTACTTTACATGTATAGTTTAACACATTACATTTTACTTTACATGTATAGTTTAGCACATTACATTTTACTTTCCATGTATAGTTTAACACATTACATTTTACTTTACATGTATAGTTTAGCACATTACATTTTACTTTACATGTATAGTTTAGCACAATACATTCTGCACTCATATGTACCTTAGTACATTACATTTTATACGCATACTTTATCAATTACATTTTACTTTACACGTGGCTCAGGGTTAAGTTTAAGTGTTCATACAATAAAAACGGGGTGAAGGCGCAGATATAACATTTTGTAGCTTGGCTTAAACGCTAAACAAACGAACTTTTTATATTTACTTAATCACATTATATTTTACCGTACCCAAACACATAAAGTTGGAATTGAAACCTTGTTAGCTGAGTTATGTAATGTTTCAAACTACGCACGCAGCAAGAGGTAACGCCACGTGGAATATCTTTTCTTGATTTTAGATTATTCTGGGATACAATATTGAAGTATATTAGTAAATAATCTAAACATCAATTTCTTCAGATTCAAGCACGTGTTTTTAACGTAGTTTTGATTCCTTGATATTTGTAAGTTTGTTAGAAGTTTTTATTTTCAACTATGTTTCGTTCTTTAAAATTGTTTCCCCTCAGAATGTTATATTTCTTCCGTAATTTGAAAATTAACTCCTTAGCTTCTAAAGCCCATTTCAACACTTACTTTGTTCAACGAATAGTAGGATTGACCATCATATTGTAACGCCCAAAAGCCTGAAAGGGCGAGCATGCCATAGAAGATAAAAAAAAAGGCAAGTTAGGTTATGGATGATGAAGTACGATGATATGCAACCTATTTTCCCTTACTTACTAAAACTATCTAATGATAGATTTCTTCAAACTCCTGAAAATTGAAGTTGCACACCGTGGCTATCATATTACACACACACATTCATTAAACACAGGCTTTCGGAATACGAGTTTTTTGTTAATTAAAACTTCTTAATAGGAAATGTATATATAGTTTCCCTCTTATGATCTAGGCGATTTTCAGGTTTTTCGCTTCATACGTTTTTCCAAAGCCCCAGTCTACATATCTACTAAACTCGTCATAATACATAGAGACCCCCCCCACGAAAAAAACAAAAATCAGCTGTAGAAATACAGGAAGAGTTGTCCCGTGAGCTGCTAAAGAAATGTAGCCCCCGTAAAATAATGGAGAATTGACATATGACCGTATGATTTAATCCTGAATTACATATTCTATATATATATATATTATATATCCTGAAATATCCCGCCTGTTTCAACTATATTCTTTCATTTCATATCTGATCGCGATAACAAACATAAGTAATGTCTTTTACTGCACATTCTGGAAGAACAATTAATATTTCATCTAGTTGATTACATTATTAGTGAGATAACTTTGCAAAAGTAGTCAACATACCTTCCCAACGATCATTCCTGCTAAACTCACACGGATTTTAGGGTTGGATATGATCTTATAACGTAGATCCACCTACATCAGAAAAGAGTAGCCAATGAATTACACTTCTAAGTTTTTAAATTTATACATGCACGTATTGTCTTTTAAAAATGTCCTCAACACATACGTAAAAGTATATAGTCCTCGAAAGGGTAATTTCATAGAAAAAAAAATACAACATTTTATTTTAACAGTAAATCAAAAAGGAGAATTGTTAGGATAAGTTTTAATTAAAAGTCTGTTCTAAACGAACTTAGAAGTACTGTATTATTTTAGCACAACGAAAGCACGTGGAAAGAGTCCACCAATAACTTTGAAGCTACATCCCTAAGCAACAGAAACGTGCAGATTACATTGTAGAGCATCTTTAAATATAACAGGTCTACAGATTAAGTTAATACAGTCGTATCCTTAAACACATGTAATCAAAGACTATGAAAAATTTGAACATGTTATTATAAAAAACATCAGGTCTACAGATTAAGTTAATACAGTCGTATCCTTAAACACATGTAATCAAAGACTATGAAAAATTTGACATGTTATTATAAAAAAACATCTTTCATACACGAGGGCGCTAAAACTTGAGTGATCAAATTTCTAAAGACATCCGTCATTTCCATGAAAGTCTATATAAAGTCGTTTTTTAAATTAATTTAATCAAACCGATATCAATTATCATGCATAAGAAAACAGTTAATGTACTTATTAATAGCTTTGGGTTTTTCTGTCTTATTTTTATTCTGCTTTACTCCTCAACAAAAATAAGCATCTTACCTGTATCTTCCATGAATTCAAACAAACAATGATGTTACGTTATTTACATTTCAAGTTATTACATGGCTACTTATATTTGTATTTATGGCAAAGCTACACGAGGGTTATCCCTAATTTAGCAGTGTCAGACTAGAGGGAAGGCAGCTAGTCATCACCACCCACCGCTAACTCTTGGGCAACTGTTTTACCAACGAATTATAACGCCCCTACGGCTGAAAGGGCGAACATTTTTGGTATGACGGGGATTCGAATCCGCGACCCTCAGATTACGAGTCAAGCGCCCTAACCACCTGGTCATGCCGGGGCAATTTTGAACTACTTGTCAGAGAGAAGGCAGACTGCCACACACATCATCCATGCTAAGGAATTGACTGTCACTCTAATAACGTACCCATAGTTTAAAGTGAAGTGAAAGTTTTTGTAAGATGCACTGATTAGAGTCCGTCTCACCAGCATCAAATTCTAAAGCTCTCCCCCATCTTTTCACGACTAGTCTTGTTAAAAATAGGGTACAGCCCATCATCTCTTCATTCATGTCACGAAATTCATTTGGCAGTTCTACATAATCCATTCATGTGAGGACGTGTACGTAACATTCAGAACGTAGTTGACTATCTGACAAAGTCTAAAACACGTCACAAATAGATCTCTCTAACTTAATTGTACTGTGATATTAGTTACATTGACTTCCAATACACCTTTAATTTTTGCATACCCCATATGCTCATCTGCTTCTTATCTTTATTGATCTTCAACGCTATCGAAAGTGGTTTCTGGATAACGGATGTAAAATGCTTCGCTGTCATGATTATGCATACATCATTTTATGACAATGTGGACCTTAAACTTTGTTTTACTTTCCTAAAAAAGAAAAATGGGTGGTGGGGGTGGGGGGGGGTGTAACGAACACAACAGCGCCCTCTCTAACAATAATTATCTTCACTCTGTAGAGCTCCAGAGAGGTAATGTTCACAATAATCGTGAATATTGTATACATACTGCCCAACAAACTCACCAAAATTTCAGTCGAATATTCTGTTTAAAATTAACCTTCCTTTCGTTTCAACAGGAAGATGTAAAACAATATTGCTTTTAACCAAGTCCGTACACAACTCGAATCTTTAGTTTTCTCTAACTTTTGTAATTAGTAAAGTACCTTGGAGCACGCGCATCAAGGGTTTTGATATGCTTATCATGCAGTAACAAGAAACTGATTGGTTAGTGCTCTCACTCGCTGCACGAGCCACTCGAAGCAACTTATAAGCGGCTGTATTCTTCAACATATATGAACGTCTGTTCTCCATTTTACTCTATTCCTTGCTGCCCGTATCAACTTTCCTAATCAAGTTTCTCATCTCCAGTCAGTTTTCTAATGAGGGATGTTGAATAGATCAGTTACCTGCGCGTCCTATTGTATCACGTGACCTCTCACACACTTGCCAACACAAACTCGACAGTTGACTATGAATACCCGTGACACCGAAGATTTAGTGAGTTCATCCCAAAACTTCACTTCCCAGTTGCAAAACTGGTTAAACTGGTTACTTGAGTTTTAACATTCAAAACGAGGCCCAGCATGGCTAGGTAGTTAGGGCGCTCGACTCGCAATCTGAGGGTCGCGGGTTCGAATCCCCATCACACCAAACATATTCGCCCTTTCAGCCGTAGGGGCATTATAATGTGACGGTCAATCCCACTATTCGTTGGTAAAAGAGTAGCCCAAGAGTTGGCGGTGGGTGGTGATGACTAACTGCCTTCCCTCTAGTCTTACACTGCTAAGTTAAGGACGGCTAGCGCAGATAGCCCTCGTGTAGCTTTGCGCGAAATTTAAAACAAACAAACTAACATTCAAAACGGAAATTCTGTTTTTATCTGCAATATGCAATTAACCTGGTTTACGAGCATATTTGTAATAACCTTTCTCAAAAAAGAAGTTTCGCTGTTTCGTCTATTCGAACATGATAATGTGTGTTTAACATTTCCTGACCCTTAAAAAAGTAGTACCAACATATCTAATTTGTATTAGGTCGTCAAGAAATTAATATCGCTTTTTTTAGATGAAAAACCCGAACAACTTATATAACAAAGCAAAACATTTATTAAATGAAATATTCTCCATTCTTATCGATGATGCTTTTCCATCTTACAATCAAGTTGTTAATGCCCTGATTAAAGAAATCACTTGGCTTTGAAGCAAAAAAACATGTCGATGTTCTCTTTAACACCTTCGTTTGCATACGTTTTCCCATTAAGATGGTGTTGCAGTGAACGAAAAATACGGTAATCTGATGGTGTCATATCTAGAGAATATGGTGGGTGGGGGAGAACTTTCCAACCCAACTCCATAGTATTGTGTTGCGTCAAACGTGCCACATGTGGACGTGCATTGTCGTGGAGAAGAACCTTTTCCGATTGACGAGTGAAGGGCGTTTCTGATGAAGAGCTTGATTTAAACGTTCCAGTTGCTGACTAT